GGACATGGGAGATGCAGGGTGGTGGGTAACGGCACTGGCTGCTCTGAATTTTCACTTCTAGGTGATAAGAGGAAACAGCATCATTATGCTGGAAGCCTTGGAACGAGTCTAGTGCCCGAGGAACCCACGCCGCTACCAGCTGTGATGTCCTAGCCCATGAAGCACCCCGAACATAAACGTTATTATTTTTGTTTTGTTAAATAAATTTTGTAATGGTTGATATAACTCTTATGTCAGTTGTACTTGCTTTTTTCAGGTAACTGGTTTTTCAGCGTGGTGGGGGCGGTTGTTAATTCTGCTCCCAATCGCTTTAAAATTCTGCAAAGACTTCCAGGAGACTTAATTTATTTAAGCAGATGCTACATTGGTGTTTGTTCAGTGGGTTATGGGTTCTTAATTGGCAAGAAAATGGTAAAATTCTCCTCTGTGGAGAGAGACAAGAGTATTTGTGCCAAGCTGGGCTGCCTGAAAGTAGGATTTATTTTTAAAATAATGATTTTTATTTCTGCATCACAGAGTTGTGCAGGAAACAAAGCCGGGACGTGGCTGGACTACACAGTCGCAGAACAGCCGTACGTTACCTCGAGGCAACGGCACCAGCTTCCTCTCCAAACAGAATTTTATTTTTAACAGCAATTTTCAGACATGGTTGAGGTATCGCAGCGATATTAGATACAGTCAAGGGACACAAGATTCTCATGACAGGGTTTTTACTTAGTCCAACCTAGTGGTAGGGTCAGGTCATCTGAATAATTAACACTTTCAAACCTTAGCGAAGCAAAGGACGGCTGTGGTTTTGCTTGCTTACCACCCGTTTTGGCAACTCAGTGTTTGGCAGAGCAGTTCCCCCACCCGTAAGCTGCTGGTTCTGGAAGCAAATAAAGCAAGCAGCCCCAGTTCCCACTGTGCTGGTTTCACCCTATAACTATCTGGTAAACCCTTCAGAAAATAGCTGAGACAAAGAGATTCACAGTCAAAAAGGTGCCTGAAACACATCCAGAGAGGGAAAGCAATGTGCAGGGGTTAATCACAGTGGTGCAGATCCTGAGTTCGGCAGTCTCCTTACCGTGGAGGGCACTTTTGGGGTCAAATATGGCGTTTAAAACCTCTTTCATCTTGCATAGGGATAGTCGGAGTTTGCTCGAGGAAGGACCAGAGTTTGGGAAAGCTTTCTTTGCCTTTTCAGTGCTGTTCCAGTCTGTCTCAAGTGGGCCGGGTGTCTCCTCAGCAGCCAAGCAATGAATTCCTCGTTTGTTAGCTCTAATTGTGGCTCAACAGCTACGGTACACGAGCCCATCTCCGGAGGCTGCAGACCGGACGTTGTGAGCACCTGGCTGCGGGGCTCAAAGCTCCGTTTTCAGCTTCTCGTGCAAATCTTCCTGGTCAATCCTGTCTGTGTTCCCGTACCACCGGTGGTAAGCGAGCAGGGCGGTGTTTTTGGCCGCGATGACGCTCATCTCCATGGCGCTGGCGGCCCGCTCAATGCCGTTCAGGTAGTAGATGTTGTCGTGGAGGACGATGGGAGGACATTTTTCTGGGGGGCTGTAGTGGGGGTACGCCAGCCACTTCTTCATTTTGACTGAGTCGTAGGAGGAGAAAAGCAAGTTAAGCTGCTCTTTGGTGAGCACCTCCTTCGAAAACACCTTCCAGACAGCTGACTGCAAGGGCAGCTTTCCTTCACCGCCCACGTCTCCCACAGGAGACACCACCCCCAGGCTGTTGATGAACAGTTTGGGATTCTCCGTAGTGAAGATGGCACCGAGATGAAAGGTGGATGGATCCCGGTAACCAAAGAAAGAGGCGTTTAATCGTCCGTGCACGAACGTCACGACGGTCTGGTGGTACGGGTTTGGGAAGTCTGGGACAGGAGGGTCGAAGTTCTTGAAGGCGATGTCGGCCATTTTGCGGCCCAGCGGAGCAGCGATGACGACGATGTCGTACGTGTCCCCCGTTAGTCCCGACGTAGTGTTGTACGTGACCTGGTAGAGCTTCACCGGGTCCCCTGGGGAGAAGAGCTCAGTTACCCCACTCCGTGCCTGCAGGGAATCCCGCTTGTCCCTCTGACAAAGCAGCTTTTAAAATGCAATCCCACCTCGGCTAATTATGTCTTGTTGCAAGCTGATGCAGCTTTATAAACTAGTCCCAGCTTAGTTGAGGGAGTGCTGCGAGCCGGAGCTTTGAGCAAAGCCCTATTTTCATCTTAAAAGACCCAGGCTGTTGCTTCAGTCTGCTAAGAGCTGCAGCTGAGCAGTGACAGAAGACAAGGTCAGTCTCTGGCTGCCAGAGCATGATGTTCCCTGCCCCACCGAAGGGAAAGCAAACCCAACTCACCTGTGGGTCTGGGTCTGGTTTTTGGCTCTATAGATAAAACTGTACCAGGGATAACTTCAGCTTTGGAGGCGTAAATAAGGCCAGTGCAGACAAGTTTGTTCCCCCCTTTTACAGACCAAAGGCCCGATTCCACCCCTGCCAGAGAAACGGCACCTACAAGGAAACCACAATCATTAGAGCAGCTTGCTTGGCATCGTTCTTGAAACAGAAAGTGGAAAAATAGGGGAAAAACACATCCCTTTGGGGCGCAGAACTTGCTGAAGGCCAGGGCTAAGCCTGTTGTGCTTGCTCAGCATCATTCTTGAAACAAAAAGTGGAAAATAGGGGAAAAACATACCTCTTTGGGGCACAGAACTTGCTGAAGGCCAGGGCTAAGCCTGTTGCATTAGCCAGCAATTTCTCAGAGTAAGAAATCCCAGTCCCAGGAATCTGGGTCCCTGGGACAGATGTCTCGGGAGGTTAATCTACGAAACACTCACCTACGAAACTGTTGATGTTGACACCTTGCCCATAATTGACTCTCATGGCTGGACAAACCACCTCATTGATGAACTTCAGGGAGAAGCCAGCTTTCTGCATGGCTTCGTCGATGGTTTGGTTCAGCATGCGGGTGAAGTCGTTCCCTCCCAGGGCGTGAAGCAGGCGCTCATTACTGCTGAAGGCGTAGTCATGCGTCTGGTAGCGATAGATCCTTTAACCAGAGATGAGAAAAAGGTGTTCACTCACTGTTCATTATCTCCATCACCCCTGGGAGCTGTGGAACATCTCACAGCCCTTCACGGGAGCAGCAGGGCTCGTCCTTCCAGCCAAGCTCTAGCCAAAGTGGTACGTGCCTAAGCAGACCTGGATGTTTGTTGTTCATTTGCTGATCTTTCCTAACAAAAGCACTTTGCTCACAGTTATAATTTTCTTTAGCACCCAGGTGCATCTCACACAGAATTCCAGAATCATTCGGGTTGGAAAAGCCCCTCGGGATCATCGAGTCCAACCCTCAGCCTGACTCCACAAAGTTCTCCCCTACCCCACATCCCCCCCAGCTCATCCCAACGGCCCTGAAACCCCCCAGGGATGGGGACTCCCCCCTCCCCGGGCAGCCTGTTCCACGCTCGGACCACTCTTGCTGGGAAACATTTTCTCCTCCTGCCCAGCCTGACCCTCCCCTGTGGCAGTTTAAAGCCACACCTAACATGCGTTTCCAATGCACCCTCATTATTGCTGTCTGACAGCTCGTATGTCACTGTTTTTCCTTAGAAAAGTGATTGGCAATGGAGAGAGGGCAACTGGAGTATCCTTTCTCAACAGCGATGGGATTTCACTGATTTTTACCACTCAGCAGCACGTTTTGCACCTTTTCCCTAGCAGGGGCCCGACATACCGCATGAACTTGTCCAGGATGTCCTCCACCCACATGTACATTCGTAGGGGGTTGAGCCCATAGTGCCAGAGCAGCTTGAGAAGGTTGACGATGTACCAGCTGCTCTCCTCAAACACAAACTCCTCCCCGTTATAAATGCCTGTGAGGCTGCCAGGCACTGAGGCAACCGTGAGGCCTTGAGGAACGGGGTGAAAAAAAAAAGATAATTTAATGAAAGGTAGAACTTGCGTCGAGCTAAACTATATTGCGCCTCGATTTTAACTTCCTGAGACAACTTAGCTTCCCATTGGCAAGGGGGAGCAATTAAAAGATTGGATCCCCAAGATGTGGAAAGGGCAAATAGTTTTTGACCAGGAGCCAGGTAGTTATTTGCAGTGACTTTTGGACCTTTACAATGGAATTACTGCGTTGCCCATGGTGGGGGGTTGTGTCCCATTTCCATCAGGATGCAGATTTCCTTTTCCTGGGGGAGGGGGGAAGTTGGGGTACCACAGCGAGATAAGGGGGGGGAATCTGGGGTACCACAGGGGGGTATTATGGAGTGGGGGGGAGTGGGGGAAGGAAGGGTGACAACCAAGGCTTGTTTTTTATGGGGGTGTCCCCCCAGCAGAGTGGGAGAGCTGGACCCAGAGCACCCCTCG